CCCCAAAACCCCAAAACCCCAAAACCCCAGTAAGGAAGAATTTAATTGATTTAAGATTTTTTAGAAAAGTAGAGTTTTGAGGTGGAATTAGGTCGTTATGAGTAATTTTAAGAGTTTAGAAGCAGGTTGTGAGCTATGTACTTTGAACTGAAGGTGTGTTGATGTTGAGGGAGGGTTGAAAGAGAGGCTGAGATTAGGTGATCTTTGTGAAGGGTATTTAGACTGTAATTTCGAGAAAGGGAAGGTTTTGAGCCATTAAGATGTGAATGCGAGGGATTTAAGTCAAATTTATGGCTAAGGTTTCGAGCGTATGGAGGTCTTGCCATTTGAGAATTTGTGTTCCAAGATACAGAATTACAAGAGGAATGCATTCTTTGAGGACTCCGGCTCATCTTTGGTAAATGCTTAATAGCTATAGACAGTTATTTCGTTATTGAGGCTCAAGATTACCTAATCTCTCTGCCTCCATAACCTCCCTGAACCTGCTACATTCATCTTTCTGAATGCTATTTCAGTATTTGGCTTTCTGATGACCGTTTATTTTAACTCTCTGTCTTACCTATATCATTACCTTGAATATTATACTTTTCTGGTAGAATTCCTCCTGACGAACGATTCTGTGGCAAAATAATCCTTCACTGCTTTATTCCTTCTTCTCCTCTGTTCCTGTTGGGAATGTAGATGGTTCTGATGGCTACCACAAGTGTTTGTGACTACGCTTAGATCAGCATTGAGTGTAGACTTTTGCTTATAGACTAACCTGTGACGACCAAGTCCATGCTGTTTGGAGCTTGCACTGCAGGGATTACAGTGATGCTTATGATTGCTAGCATTTATAGATTTATCTACATCAGAATTAGTGTTCATCTGGATCACCTCAGGAGCATATCCAAGATATTGAATGTCATGGCGGTTGATATCCTTCTCAGTCTCTTCTTCAGGGACATTCTCATCATGATTCTGGTTGTCTTCCAAAGCATGTGTGTTCGAAACTCTCTTGTTAAAAATGTCTAGCAAAGATTGCTCCACATCTGTGTCAGTTGAGTTATATGACAATTCCTTTGGGGAATGATCAATGGGAAATATCTCCCCAATATCTTCGATATCATGCATGATATTTTCTGGAAGTTCACGGTCAAATTTCCGACCATTTTTGGATGAAGAGCTTGACAAACTAGAGAGTTTTATTGTTAAATCGTTGTTCAAACATTCTGAGGCTTGACCAAGAGGCTGATTTTGCACATTTTTAGTATTTCTATAGCAATTATCTTGACTTTTGGGGTCCAAAGGAGCTAATTGAGGTGTATGGTAGTTATCCGTATCATAATTCCCTTTAAAAATAATCAAATCTTCTTCTATGTCTTGTGGCACTGAGAAAGAAAACCTCATTTGTTCATTACTATCTTGTTTAAGTTGTAGATCCTAAAATAGTATTAAGTATGCTAGAGGAAAATCACAGAAGCAAGAAATTATCCAGGAAAAATAAAAAGTAGAACATTCAAGATAATTCTGAATCATAACGGTATCTAACTTACTTCTGAATTTCCTCAGTAATGCTCTCTGTTCAAGCCTAAGCGCTGCAAAGTTGAAGAAGTATCTAACTGAGAGGGCTGTCCTTTTCTTCCTCAACTCCCATCCTCTCTGAAGAAAGTATGCTCATTGAGAGAATTTGAAAAATTTGGCTTTTGAGTACCTTTATTCGAATTCCTAGCTGACGATTTCCCATAACTATGAGATAAATTATCGATCATCTTTTCTATTAAGTGTCATCGATCAGATGAAAGCCTTGTGTTACCACCCTTCAAGGATTTTAAGTCATGGGGTTTGGCAACTCGAATACCTGTATTAATGTTTTCGATCTCATCCACAAGATTAGTTATTCCCTGTGTTGACCCATTACGCAGCTCCCTTGTATGTTCCTATAGGTGAAATTATGTAAAAATTCCACAGAAAGATAACATCCCTTTCCAAATTTAACGGATCATACTCTTGAAGTACAAAATGAAACGTATAATCATAATGTGGCATGAAGCAACAAAACAGTCAGATTTTAACAAGTCAGGTAAAAAAAATTGCTATAAAGTCTTACCTTAATTTCTGGTTTATCTCATAAGAGAGGGCCAACCCTGAGACCTAGCAATGCTATGACTCTGATCAAAAACTCCCTTTCCATTAAAAGTAGCCCGGTGATCCCTTCAGATAGCTTCTTGCTCTGTGCTTCTGCTAGACATAAGCTTCTTCGACAAAGCTACTATGGTTCAGCCATGGATGTGCCGATTGGCTGAGATGTGTGCTGAACTCTAAAAGTTTCGTAATAAGCCTTTGGCTAATCGCCTTAGGGTTTTGAGGATGATGGTTCGAATATAGTACTTGGGAAATCAAAGATGTGTAGTTGACTGAAAATAATGGCTCCTTAGTGTTCTTTTCTGCTTCTAAATGCGTCTGACACTCCCAGAATTCAGTCCCGGCTGCTAAAATAAGATTTATCCCCTCTAACAACACTAAAACCCCACCAAACCTTACCTCCACTCCCATAAAGAGCTGTATAAACATTCCCAAGCTTCTGCACCAATTCCATATCCATAATATTCCTTCCAAACATATTTTATCTCCCCTCTCAACCCGGGGTTTTGGGGTTTTGGGGTTTTGGGG